TCACTGATTCACAAGATGTCGATGTTCAGTCTTGCCATCTCGTTTTTGACCATGTCAAGCTTACCTGGCAACCCTGAAGGGAGTATGCTGCTTCTTGCCAGCCTAGACCTATCCTGTACTCTTGCCAGCCTTCACCTATTCTAGTCCTGTACCACCGTACTCTTTTCAGGCAGCACCCCACATAAGACTATGGATCCGAAACCATACTTTGCTTATTAATCACAACTAGGCTTGGTTCAAACATAATACGAAACTATGTTTGTCTGTTTTTAAATATGATTAGTTTGTGAAACTAGGATTCAGTTCACAACCATTCATTCAAATCCTGGTTTGCCTTGAGAGATGTTGGGTTCATCAGCTTTGCTCTTCCCCCCGCAAAGACTAAGCTGAGTTCCTGGCTTGCATTACAGTAAGGGCCATGCTGGGGAACAAGACAGGATTAATCCAGGATGTTTGTAGTTTGTATATTACTTAAACCATAGTTAAGACTAATTGCAGTTAATAAACCAGCTTCAAACCATTGTTTCCTGTCTTGGTATGAGAGGCCTGCATTCAGATGCTTATACTAACCACGGTTGGATTAATTAAAACATGGTTTTGTCTGATCTCTGAACCAACTCTTAGGTCGAATCTGCATTTGCATTTTTAAATCAGTTTTGTGCTGCTGAGACGCCGTCTTTCTCTATGCTTGTTTGAACGTTGTTTGGAGAAGATTCTTTTAAAGCAGTAGGGAGGCACAATGACAGTGGAGCCGCCACGAGAAAGTGATAAACATATGTGGATGTGCAAAAGTATGCTAGCACTGTTGAGGTGTGAAAACGAAACCAAATGTAGACTGCTTTTTTGAAGACTGAGTCAGAAGGCTGGGACACCGGTGAGAAAGACAAATGCAGATGTGACCTTAGTCTGAATGCTGAACTGCTGCTGTTCTGTTGGAGTCAGCTTACCAGCAGCCCCCTCCCACCAGCCATGTAGGACATTTCTCAGTACTGGCAGGAAATGTATATGTACTCACTTCAGTCTGATATCGTTTGGGAATTTGTGGGTAGTGATCTGGTTAGATTTTTCAGTTTGACCCTGCATTATTTTTACGCAAAAACTGGGTATTTGAGATACCTTTCCCCATTATCTGTTATCCATACATTTATGAATCAAGCTCAGAAACATGAGAAGGATGAACTTGCCAACTGTTGTGCTTAATTGGCGGTGGCTGATTGTCACATGGAAATAAACAATTCAATATTTATTGTATGAACTGTCTCTAAGCTAGTAATGAAACTTGGAGGGGAAAAATTAATTGGCTTTTCACCAGAAAGGGATTTGGTGAACAGGAAATCAACTTGGAGTCTTGCTGTGGGGTTTGAAGGAGACTTTTGATTTAGTTTTCCGAAGATGTGAAAGAAATTGGACTTAAAACTTTCACATGTCTGTGCGGATAAGCAATAGGCCAGTGCAAAGAGGACAGCAAAAGGCCAGTGCAAAGAGGCTCTATCACTAGCCAGCCACTTGTTTTCCAAGCTTAGGTTAGGGTTGCCAGCCCCCAGGTCCGGGCAAGGGTTTCCCCACTTTTGGGGGCTCCAATATGCCCCTGGCCAGTGGGGGAAACCCTGCCCCAAGCCCCACCCCCAAGAGCAACCACCTGCTCGGCCACCCCTCTCCCTCTCCTCCTGCCAGATTTAAATGGCTTCAGCTGATCAGTGGGGACCACTAAAGCTAGCAGGAGGGAGGGAGAGGGGTGGTTGTAGGCTGCACCCTCGGCTTGCAAAAAGATCCTTTAAAGGGTCTTTTCGGGTGTGGGGTAGGGTCCGCACTCATGGAGCTGGGGAAAATCTGCCCCGCATGCAGTGGGCCCTCCTTTAAAGGGTCTTTTTGTGAGCCAAGCATGTAGCCTGTGACCACCCTTCTTAGGGCTGGCCCGAGGTGTCTCTGCACCCTAGGTGAGGCCAGGTTGTGGCACCCCCCCAGGCGATGCCAACCTCCCGGTGGGGCCTGCAGACCTCCCAGAAACATGCCTGGGAGGGGGGCGCCGGGTGCCACAAGCTAGCCTCGCCCCTGCCCGGGTTGGCTTCCCACTTGCCCAGCCCACTAGGGGAGACACGCGTGAGCAGAGCCTCAGCCCAAGCAGTCCCAGGGGGAGGAGCAGGGGTCTTCCTTCCTTCTTTCCCTTCTGCCACAGCCGGAGCAGGAGAGGGTGGGTGGCCGGATGGACCCACAGAGCCACAACGACCCACCTCGCCAACTCCTCCTCTTCCCCCACCCCCTGGCATGAGTCTCCCTCCCCTACCTTCCCCCTATGGGCAGCCCGCTCGCACCCACGGCAGCCAGGTGCACAGGGAGGGGGCGGGAGAGAGCGAGCACTCCACCCTCTTGCCTGAACTAGCAGAGCCAAGTGTCCCACCTCAGCATTGCCTGGTCCGGCTGGGCTACTCCTGTCCCCCGCTTGCTCATCCCCCCGCCTGTCTCTTCGTCGGGCCTTCCTAGCGCTTCAGGGGAAATGGTCCAGCCGAAGCGAGGCAGAGGAAGGAGGCGGGCGTCCCCGCCCAAACCCCCAGTCAACGATGCTGCTGCCCCACCTTCTTCTCCTTCTCCTCCTCCCCCCTTGGTCCCTCCTCTCTCCTCGCCGCTCAGGAGCAGGGCCCAGGTGGGGAGGCGGGGCCGGAGCGCAGCCCCAGCCACGAGCAACCCACCGAGAGAGAGTCCCAGTCGACGATGCTGCCGCCCCGTCTTCTCCTCCTCCCCCCTTGGTCCCTCCTCTCTCCTCGCCGCTCAGGAGCAGGGCCTGGGTGGGGATGCGGGGCCAGAGCATAGCCCCAGCCACAAGTGACCTGCTGAGAGCGAGCCCGCCACCTACCTCCGTGGGCTGCAACAATCGCTGGGCAGGCTGCTTCCGGGGGGGGGGCGTCTGTGCGATGAAGTGGGGAGGAGCAAGGAAAGGCGCAACCCGCCTTTGTTGACCCTTTTCGCACCTCAAACGCCAAGCGGCTGGGAGAGGCAATGGCGTGTGGGCTTTTGGCGGGGGGAGGCAGTTTGGCGCCCTATCCATGCCTAATTCACCTAGTGGATGAGCCGGCCCTGCCCTGAAGAGCTCTGCAGCTCTGACATGCCCAGTGCAATGATGTCACCCAGAGGTGATGTCATCACGCCAGGCATCTTGCAGGGGGACACTCCAGCGTTTGGCCAAAAACTGTATGGTGACCATAGAGTCTTTGGCTGAATGTTAGAGCATCCCCCACGATGTGCCTAGTGTGATGATGTCACTTCCAGGTGATGTCATCGCGGCATGGGCGCTTCATGTATGAGCAAGAAGATCCAGGAGAGAAGCCTGGAGCCCCCCGGCAGCAAAAGGTAGGGACCTGGCAACCCTCATTTCCTACCAGGTCCTCTCTCTAGCCCATGCCCTAAAGGACAAGACTGTAGGATGCATTTTACATCTCCAATGCTCCCCTCAATACTTTCTTAAGGGCTTTATTGCCCTGCTCTGGCCATCCACCCAGAGTTATCTTCTGGATCACATAAACACTCTGGTATTTTGTTTCTTTCTGCTAGGTAAGAGATCATTCTGTCCCCAATACAGAGAATGCTATCCCCTCACACCAGCTAGCGACATGTGGTTCATAGGAGGGTTCCCCATTGTTTCTCTATTCAAACATATGAAGAGTTGGTGAGCAAATTACAAACCAAGGTGCCTGATCACGGACTTTGCAAGTGACAACTCGGCGGTTGTCCTAGCAACTACCACATCCCACAGGTTCCCAAGCAGCTCCTCTTTTCAGTTAACACATGGATGCCAAACCTCTGTGACATTTCATCTTCACATGGGTGAAAACACACACTTTATGCATTAAGAAACAAGAAGCATCAAATACAGAAGGCAGGAGAACTCTGTGTCTTATTATTTTACAAAAGGAACAATGTGTCCTTTGTGCTTTTACATGAAATTGGAATGGTATCAAGAGAAGATAATCCAACATGGAGGTTCTTCTGTGTGGTTCCAAGAAGCCGTGGCCTTATAGCCTGCAAACACTGGCATAAGTCTTGATTCCTGGCAAGTTGTAAAGAAGCCAGTGTGAGCCCCAGAAATGCTAAAAGTAAAGGCTAAATGAACTAGGAATGCTCAAAAACCTGGTAGTTTGGCTCAGGCCCTGCTTCCCAGTATTGAGCAGGGAAACAGTTTTTTAATGGGCTGTTCATTTGTCTGTTGACAGATTTGTGGCTGTTCAGCAAGTTGCTTCAACATCTTCCTTCCTAACAGTGTAGTACAGTGCAATTGGCTTTTCATGTCTATTTAAACATGAGTTGGAGTGCTTGGTGTTGGAAGGAAAAAGCGAGGAAAGGCGCAACCCGCCTTTGTCAGCCCCTTTCGTGCCCCACACACTACATGGCTGGGAGCAGCAATGGCGTGTGGGCTTTTGGCCGAGGGGGCACAGTTCAGCACCCCATCCAGGGCCCGGCGCTCTAGGCGAATGCCTAGTTCGCCTACTGGGTGAGCCGGCCCTGACCCTTCTACCTCTCTCCTGCTAGATTTAAAGGGCCTTTTAGCTGATTGGTGGGTTACATGGACCCCATGGATCAGCTGACGCCTTTTAAATCTGGCAGGAGGAGAGGGTTGAATGTGTGGTCGCTCTTGGGGGTAGGGCTTGGGGACATCCCTGCTCACCCCTGGAACACCCCCAAAATCCCCCCGCTGGAGCAATGAGGGGATCTGGCAACCCTAGCGTAGATAGAACCTGGGTCATGACAAGCTGGTCATCTGAAATATCTGTTGCAGACATGGAAAAAGGTTTGGCATGCTGTGGCAAGTCTTTTCAATATGGGCCAGGTGGTTGCTTGTTGAAGAGTGATTTGTGATCATGGGAAATGCTCAAGTGGGCTGGTTCAGAATGTGCAGAATTTTATTTTGGCTTCATAAAATTGGGAGGAAAAGCACCTTGACCATACAGAGGTTTACTCAAGGAAAAAATATTTTTCCAAATGTAATTTTCTTCCTAATCTTTTCAAAGGCTACACAAGAGACAAATCATTCCTCGAAATGGTGGTTGATATTGTCAAAGAGCTAAAGCAACAGAACTCCAATCTGGTATATGGTGAGTTTATGAGGAACAATTGATTCAGTTTACATTACTTAATTGGATGCCTTCCTAATAATTCTGTAAAGGCTCAGGGAGAGCAAAGGTTTTATGATACAGAGAGGAGTTGAGAGAGAGATTGCAAACTGGTTTGGATAAGGCTGGTATTAATGTTACTGTCATAATTGCAACTGCCTTGAGTTCTTTTGAGGAGAAAGGCAAGCTCAAAAGGTCTTAATAAATGGCACACATACTCCAGGTAAATTTCCTAGCAGTGCTATAATGATAATAAAATAATACTAATAAGTTTGTAGTTCATGGATTGTGTTATGTTGTCTGGCCACAAGAAAAGACTCATCTCTGTGATGTCTTAGTGTGACTTGGCAGTTATCCACTCACTACTTAGCAGCTCTGATGTCAACAAGGCAGCAACAGAAGGGGGTGCTGGGGAGGATTTGAAATCTAAGGTAATTAGGGATGTATTGTTTTAGTTACTTTTGAAGTATTGCTTAATTACCCAGGAGCTTATAAGTGAGATCTTGGTACAATTAAGATGAACATTAGTTTTCCAGAAAGTGTGTATCTTAAGAAATTTTTTAAAAAGGAAATCTTCGCAGGTTACTACTGATCATTTGATCATTTGACCAGGAGAAGCATTCACCTAACAACTAGGTATGCCAGCCTCCAGGTGGGACCTGGGATCCCCCAGAATTACAGCTCATCTCCAGACTACACAGATCAGTCCCCCATGGAGAAAATGGATGCTTTGGAGGGTGGACTCTGTGGCATTGTACCCTACTGAGGTTCCTGTCCTCCCCAGGCTCCACCCCCAAATCTCCAGGAGCTTGGATCTGGCAACCCTACCCCCTCATCCCCCACCAGTGGCCAAGGGGGGACCTGGCAATCCTACTGACAGCATAGAAGAAATCCACAGCCTCGTTTTATTGCCTACTTGTTTGTTGTTGTTCAGTCGCACAGTCGAGTCCGACTCTTCGCGACCCCATGGACAATCTCCCGCCAGGCTCTCCTGTCTTCCGCCGTCCTCCGAAGTTGGCTCAATTTCATGTTCGTTGCATCGCTGACACTGTCTAACCATCTCATCCTTTGCCGTCCCCGTCTTCTTTGACCTTCAATCTTTCCCAGCATCAGGGTCTTTTCCAGTGAGTGCTCCCTTCTCATTTGGTGGCCAAAGTATTTGAGCTTCAGTTTCATTATCTGGCCTTCCAGGGAACAGTCAGGGTTGATTTCTTTGAGGATTGACTGATTTGTTCTTCTTGCAGTCCAAGGGACTCTCAAGAGTCTTCTCCAGCACCATAGTTCAAAAGAATCTATTCTTCGGCGCTCGGCCTTCCTTATAGTCCAACTCTCACAGCCATACATGACTACTGGGAATACCATTGCTTTGACCATGCGGACTTTTGTTGGCAGGGTGATGTCTCTACTTTTTATCATGCTGTTTAGGTTCGCCATCGCTTTCCTCCCAAGGAGCAGGCGTCTTTTAATTTCATGGCTGCAGTCACAGTCTGCGGTGATCTGGGATCCCAGGAACGTGAAGTCTGTCACTACTTCCACGACTTCCCCTTCTATTTGCCAAGGAGTGATGGGTCCGGATGCCATGATCTTAGTTTTTTTGATGTTGAGCTTCAAGCCCACTTTTGCGCTCTCCTCTTTTACTCTGAGCAAGAGGCTCTTTAGATCCTTTTCACTTTCAGCCATTAGAGTGGTATCATCTGCATATCTGAGGTTGTTGATCTTTTCCCCAGCAATCTTAATTCCCGCTTGTGATTCATCCAGGCCAGCATTTCGCATGATGTACTCTGCATATATATTAAATAAGCAAGGCGACAATATACATCCTTGTCGTACTCCTTTTCCTATGCTGAACCAATCAGTTGTTCCATATCCGGTTCTAACTGTCGCTTCTTGGCCCTTATACAGGTTTCTCAAGAGACATGTGAGGTGGTCTGGTACTCCCATCTCTTTAAGGACCTGCCATAGTTTGTTGTGATCCACACAGTCAAAAGCTTTAGCATAGTCAATGAAGCAGAAGTAGATATTTTTCTGGTACTCTCTTGCTTTCTCCATAATCCAGCGAATGTTGGCAATTTGATCTCTAGTTCCTCTACCTCTTCGAAACCCAGCTTGTACTTCTGGTAGTTCTCTATCCACGTACTGTTGAAGCCTAGCTTGTAGGATCTTGAGCATGACCTTGCTAGCGTGTGATATGAGTGCAATTGTGCGATAGTTTGAACATTCCTTGGCATTGCCCTTCTTTGGGATTGGAATGTATACTGATCTTTTCCAATCCTGTGGCCACTGTTGCGTTTTCCAAATTTGCTGGCAAATGGAGTGCAGCACTTTAACAGCATCATCTTCTAAGACTTTGAATAGCTCAGCTGGAATACCATCACCTCCACTAGCTTTGTTGTTAGCAATGCTTTCTAAGGCCCATTTAACTTCACATTCCAGGATGTCTGGCTCGAGGTCAGTGATTATACCGTCGTGGTTGTCAAGGACATCGAGGTCTTTCTTGTATAGTTCTTCTGTGTATTCTTGCCATCTTTTCCTAATCTCTTCTGCTTCTGTTAGGTCCCTACCGTTTTTGTCCTTTATCATGGCCAGCTTTGCATGGAACGCTCCCTTGATTTCTCCAACTTTCTTGAAGAGATCTCTAGTCCTTCCCATTCTATTGTTTTCTTCTATTACTTTGCACTGTTCATTCAGGAAGGCCTCCTTATCTCTCCTTGCTGTTCTCTGGAAATCTGCGTTCAGTTGGGTAAATCTTTCCTTTTCGCCTTTGCCTTTCGCTTTCCTTCTTTCCTCTGCTATTTGTAAAGCCTCATCAGAAAGCCATTTTGCTTTCTTGCATTTCTTTTTCTTTGGTATGGTGGTGATTGCTGCCTCCTGTACAATGTCACGAACCTCCGTCCATAGTTCTTCAGGCACTCTATCTATCAAATCCAGACCCTTGAATCTATTCTTCACCTCTACTGTATATTCATCAGGGATGTGATCTAGGTCAAACCTGAATGGCCTCATGGTTTTCCCGATTTTCTTCAGTTTAAGTCTGAATTTTGCAATGAGTAGCTCATGATCTGAACCACAGTCAGCTCCAGGTCTTGTTTTTACTGACTGGATAGAGCTTCTCCATCTTTGACTGCAAATTATATAGTCAATCTGATTTCGGTGTTGCCCATCTGGTGATGTCCATGTGTAGAGTCGCCTCTTAGGTTGTTGGAAAAGGGTGTTCGCTATGACCAGTGTGTTCTCTTGACAAAACTCTGTTAACCTTTGCCCTGCTTCATTTTGCTTTCCAAGGCCAAACTTGTCTGTTATTCCAGTTACCTTTTCACTTCCTACTTTAGCATTCCAGTCCCCTATGATGATGAGGACATCATTTTTTGGTGTTAGTTCTAGGAGGTGTTGTAGGTCTTCATAGAACCGGTCTACTTCAGCCTCTTCTGCATCAGTGGTTGGGGCATACACTTGAATTACTGTGATGTTGAATGGTTTGCCTTGGAATCGGACAGAAATCATTCTGTCATTTTTGAGATTGTATTACCATCTCTTTATAGAACTACTGCCTTGCATAAATCAACAACTTGCTGTGACTACAATAGAAGTTTGAAGTGAGGCTAGCTGTGTTAGACTTTGTTGACTGTTCATTCTTTTAAAATGTTGCTTGTGGCAATATTGCTTTTCCACATCTTTTAAAATTAATTTTCCCCTGCAGTGTGTGATCCTGTGATGGGTGACACGAGGGATGGAGAAGGCTATATGGTTAGTAATTCCATCTTTATAACAATGTTGTTATGCCAAAGAAACCATACCAAATCCTGGAGGGTTTTTTCTCATCTTCTGGGTATGGAACAGCAGTCACTGCAAGGTGTGGATGGGGAGGTATTTGTGAATTTCATGTATTGTGCAGGGGGTTGGACTACATGACCCTGGAGGTCCCTTCCAACTCTGTGATTCTATGATTCTATATTTGACCCTGTACTCGGTATCTTTCTTAGGAAGATTGTCCTTTCATGTTCAGTTCAGTTATCCTTTCATGTTCAGCTCTCAATAAATCATCAATTTTCAGTAGGAACAACATTGGCTTTTCCCAACTCTATGGAGCATGCTGAAGACTAAACTCAAATAGAATTGTGGACTAAATAATTCTGCATGCTAAGAGATTTAGTCAGTTTTCTCCATGCCACTGCAATGTCTTTGTTCTCCTCCTTCTGCATTCTGCAGTACAAATTTGCAGAAGTTGTTGAGGAGACGCAAACCCCCTGCAAGCAGTAAGTGTTTCCATTCCTGTTCAGGTGGAGGGTTAGTAGTCCCTTCTGATGGCACTTCCTTGTGCTTTATGGAACATCCTTCCAGAAGGACCCCTCCCTGGACCCTGGGAAAGGCTGCCATTTAAAAGTCGTGTACAAAAAAGAGCAGTTTTGGATCCCAGCTTGTGTGTGCATGTCTTTATATGTTAGTGAATGCTCAAAATTTTGTTACTAGACAGTTATATAGGATATTTAACAACCCCATATAAATGTTGTGAATGTTAATAAAATCAGATACACTGATAAATGAATGCTCAAAACTTGGAGACAGAGATCTGTTTGTGGGCAGCCATCTAGAGATTGTCAGCATTCAAGACTGGCATGCACCAAATTAGGACATTCCCTGATTCAGAGATCTCCATGTAATGCTTATGGATTTCTCCCTGCCTTGTAAGCTTATGCATTTCTAGGCTGAGCTGAGAGGGAGAACTGCTTACGCAACACAGACTAAACATCCTGATTCCTGAACTTTTTGAAATGATCCAGTCAATCACCCTAACTTTCTAAAGAAAATATCCTTTTTCCTTATTTTTATAGTATGTTCCAAAAGATCTCCTTCCAGTTTACAGAGACAAAGTTGTGCCTGTAGCAGATATAATAACACCTAATCAAGTTGAGGCTGAGTAAGTACTATTTTCTCATATCTTTTTGAAGACTTAAAGAATTACGTCAAACTCTGTTTCATTCCTTTCATTGCCTTTTGGTAATTAAAAAAATGGTAATGAATAGGTATTGGAGATCTCTTGCGTTCTAGAAAATATGTTAGGGTTTCATTTTCTTTTTTTACTTAAAAACGTATGTTTAAAAATAATATTGACTGTGTACTGATAGATGCACAGCCTTTCTGTGGTTTTTACAGCCTGTTTGCTTAAAAGGTTCACATTTATTCCCCACCCCCATATACTCATAAAATGATACCAGTCATCTTCGCAATCAGAGATTGCTTGGTTCATGTCCTTGATTTCAGTTCCATGTCTCAGAACATGTCCTGCCATCAGAACAAGCATCTGAATAATCAAATTACTTCAGACTTTCATTTCTTGGAAATTAGATTGTGATGTCACATGTGTAGCCTAGTACTTTGTGTCAGATTAGTCTATTCACAGCCTCTGGATCAAAGGTTGTTGGACCTGCATTCCTTCATACTCACATTCTTTCACCTCTTTACTCCTGCAGTCTTCTGTCTTCTGACGTCTCTGCTTGCTCACCTGCCTGTCTTCTCTTGATGTCATTAACTAATCGACTTAGATGTAAGCTAGAGCTACCATAACATTTCTCTGTCACTATTTCTTAGCTGCTTTGCTCATCTAAGGAGAACTAGGGAATGCCTTAATACTTACAGTTTGAATTGTATGAGTAACTCTTATTAAACTATATGTATACCAGCTAAGAACTGTGAACTTAAGTAACATCCTAGTGCAAATCATTTGTGTAATTTCAGAACCTTTTAATGGGAAGCTGCTGTCCACTGACAGAAAGGGATGCTGCTTGAGTCCAGTGGCACCTTTAAGACCAACAAAGTTTTATTCAAAGTGTAAGTTTTCATGTTCAAAGCACACTTCTTCAGACAAATGGAATTCCATTTGTCTGAAGAAGTGTGCTTTGAACATGAAAACTTACACTTTGAATAAAACTTTGTTGGTCTTAAAGGTGCCACTGGACTCAGACTTCATTCTGCTGCTTCAGACCAACATGGCTACCCACCTGAATTTTTCAGAAAGGAAAAATGCTGTTTATGATATATTCCACTGGCTTTGGCTTTTTGAAGTTTTGATGATTTAGGCATTTTTATTATTATTTTAGGGATTCTTGTTGTTATTTTGTGCTGTCTTATTGTCTGGGAAAGTGGAAGAAGCTGCAACAGTTCTCCAGACCCTTGATATTTATGTTCAAGTTAAAGTAAACGGCATAGGGGCCTTAACATTGTGCCTGTTACTTTGGAGGACCAGGATGGCAGGAGGATGATCAGAGTCAGTACAGTAAAGCATCTACAAGTTTTACCTTTACCCACAGAAGTGAATGATCCTATGTAAAGTTCTTTGGGCAATGAAAAGCAGAACAGAAATTTATATTCAGAATGGACGCTTCTAAAATATTCTCTTGTTTTTTGTAGATTACTCACTGGCAGAAAGATACGTACTGAAAAAGACGCTATAGAGGTAGGTGACCTGAAGACGGTGTTGTGTTCCTTAAACTCCATTTAAATGCTCCTGTGGTCACTTCTGAGGGCAAATGGGAAATCGCTTGTGGTCTACCAGGAACTGTGCAGAGGCAGAATTTGCTGTTGATGCAGCCCCTGCCATTTGCATCATTGTGCCTGATCAAAAAATGCCCCAGTTTTAATTGCATGACTGGCATGGGGCAAGACCCTACATAGAGAAGACTGTAAGGAACTTGGTAGTTCAGGCCTAAGGTTTTAATGGGGGAATTGGATCTTTTTGCCAGGATTCTGGCCCATTCAGCATCCTCACTCTGCTGATTAGCAACAGCTGCTGAGCAGTTTTTGTTCCCTAAAAGGCTTGACCTTGGGAGATTTGCTCTATGGAACTTCTATCCTTTCTAGCTTCCTTTACATCAGATGCTAATTAACTGGTCAATCTTTGATTGCTTGGTGAGTGTTAGAAAAAAAGGGGTTCCAGATATGCAGGGAATCCTCCTCAATGACCAAAGGACATCCTCAACGGACAAACAGTATTTTCGGTTACCTTGGCATGTCTCTATGCTGTGCCAGCTAGGCATGAAGAAACCTTGTTTTGAGTGGGTAAAAGGACAACGGAAGAATGCCACTTGAAGCTATTGGAAGGCAGTAAGGCTCAGAGTTCTTAGACAGATAGATTTTAGTTAGAAATAGAGAGATTTATTCTGTTTTATCTTCTCTTGCCTGCGACTGCATGGTTTATGCTTTCTTGCAGCATTCATTAAACTAATAGATTTGCTGTATGCCTTAAGCTGTGTTGGGAATTACTGAGTGTGAGTGCACCTGGAAAAGAACCCTGAGGGTAGAAAGTCAAGGCTGTGCGAAAGCAGAACTTTCGCCCTCATAAAAGAAAAAGGGAGCATGGCCTGCCCGCCTGACTGAGGGATCGGTTGTTTTACCGTCCGGAGCGGGAGGTCCGGGTGGTTTATCCATACAGGGCCGAATCATACAATTTGCTGCCTCCACACAGTGATTGCAGGTCATGAGCCTGTTTACATTCTTGAATACTCTGATGAGTGATTGCATTAGAACTTCTAAAGATGTGAACTGGGAGTGAAGCTTATGTAAATATTTAGATTGTGCGTGTGTGTGTGTGTGTGTGTGTGTGTGTGTGTGTGTGTGAAAACATCCTACATTAGAAAAGTTTACACTGTCTGTCGTGGAGGCACATGTTGTCCACTGAAGGAAAATAACTCAAAAGTGACTTGTGCAGTGTATTACTACACAGTACTGCCCCCTCGTGTCTGCATAGGAGTATTGTGATATTTCTCCTTTAGCAGCTACCATAAATATAGATTCAGGTGAACAGAAGTGTGCATGCGCATGAAAGTTATACCAAGAATTAAACTTTGTTGGTCTTAAAGGTGCCACTGGACTCCTCAGCTACCATAAAGCATTTCCACTTTGCCATGGTGCCAACTATATAGACCAGCCATTCTAAACCATTTCAGTTAGGAAATTTAGTAGTGCACTTAGTGCGTTAGTGCTTGAGGTCCCTGTTGGTTCTCACAGTGGACCTTTAGCTTCTGTCACTACTTCATTTCCAAGATAACATTCCTGACTCTTCACGCTCAGGACGTTATGCAGCATCCATAAGAACAACTCATTGTTTGTGCTTTTGCCAGCTGCTACTGTTTTTGTAGTACATTGAAGAAATGTCATCCAGTGACTCCACAGTTTCCAGTTTTTACTTTCATACCCCTGGGGTTTGCTAATTATGTCTTGAGGGTCTTGATCCATGATAAAAGAGCGAGGCTATAGTCCAAGATGGGGCAGATTGAGCTATTGGGCACAGAGGCTGATGCTGCTAAAATAATGTGGCAATTGCAAAGTACTTCTATACCTTTAAAGCTGCTATATAAAATTATCATAATAATTAATTATAGTTGTCCCAGTTGCATAATAGCACACTATTATTTGAATAGTGTGACGGAGAACTACATTCATGGTTGTGTGATATTAACATGACAGAATGCTGTGTTCAGTTGTATGTCCTTCGGTGGGAAGTTCCGCTGTCATTGGTGCCTGCCTGTGAGTTTTTAATGTACACAAAGTTTGAAGATACAATTACTGGATGTAGGTGTGTAGATACTCCAGCAATTCATTTAATCTAATTAATGCAGTTGGTTTGTGGAGTACCTTTGTTGGTGCATGGCCATCTTTCCTGATGAACATCCCCATGCCAAGAATTACAGTTGCCCTGACCTCTGCTGGAAAGCCAAGGATGCCGTTTCTCTCCAGCAGCAGGAAGAATTGCCACCTTGTTACAGCCTTCTTTCATTTTTGTTCTACCTTTTAAGATGCTCCATGAGTCACTAGAGAATATCCCTGTTGTGTTACACTGCTAATTATCTTTGCTATCTTTAGTCATTAATAGAAAGAAGCCCAGAACTAGTCTTTTTGCTACCTGATGGGTAAATAGTTGCTATCCTGCAGCAGTTGTCACTGACACATACGCATGCATAATAACTAGTTCTGTTTATTTCTTTTCATCTATGGGAAGGTAATGGATATACTCCATAATATGGGACCAGAGACTGTAGTAATCACCAGCTCAGACCTTCAGTCACCTTCAGGAAATGATTACCTGATAGCATTAGGAAGCCAAAGGAGAAGTAAGTCATGGTTGTTTGTTTGAATGGGAAAGCCTTAACTTTAAACTTTAAGTCTACTAAGAATAACTGCATGATTTCCAATTCATCCTTTCTTTGTTCACATGCAGTTTCTTCTCAAATGAATGGGATTCATAAAGCAGCCATGCGATGGATTATGAGTAGAGAATTTTCCTTTCTACCTGAGCACACTTCTTTTTTCCTGTTGTTTCTTGTAAAATAATAGTTAATACTCCATTTTGCTATAATTTATCACAGTTTAAAGAGTGTTGTTAAGGCAAAAGGGAAACAAACTGTAACATCTTCCCTTACCTCCTGTAAATCTAGAGGTATCATGGGTGTTTAATGTAATACGGGGCAAGATGTGACAGCTCACTCTGGCTTTTGTAGAACCAACTTGCCAGCGTCCCACCCTTTGTGCATTGAATTCAGGTCTCATAGTCACAGCTGTACACATTTTCACTAATAAAAATGTAAGGTTATTTCCCCAGGAAATTCAAATTTTGCATTAAGAATAGCTGAATTCTAAAATATATTCTGCAATGTTAATTACTTTGCATAATTCATTCTAATTTTGCTAATCACAGGGAGGGGCAAGATACCACACGGGAAACTGGACTAGAAATCTTATTGAATCAAAGCTCTGGCTCTTGAGAACGTATTAGATATGGCAGAAAAACATGCTTTCCTAAAAAGAAAGAAAGAAAACAAAGAGTTCCCTATGAGGTCTGGGACTTTTCAGTTTAGAAAGGAGACAACTAAGAGGGGACATGATAGAGATTTATAAAATTGCGCGTGGGGTAAAGAGAGTTGACAAAGATACATTTTTCTCCCTCTTCCAAAATACTAGAATTTGAGGGCATCCAGTGAAACTGATGGGCAGTAGGTTCAGAATCAGAACAGACAAAAAGGAAATACTAGTTTATGCAGAGAGTGATCAAAATGTGGAATTCCCTGCCAGAGAATGTTGTGATTGCCAGGAGGCAACATCAGGGGAAGGCCTTGGCCTCTATGGCCCTGTTGTTGGCTGTCCAGAGGAAGTAGTCTGCTGCTATGTGAAACAGGATGCTGGATTAGGTGGACCATTTATGTTCTTAAGATTCTGAGGAAACTAAACTCCAAGCTCTATACAGTGTTTTCACAGAACTGCAGTGTGCATGCAGCACTGCTCCTAATTCTTCCAAGAGTGCTTCTGATTTAGACCTGAGATAAATGTGGAGCAATATTTAAAAGCATAGCACTGGGGTGAGCTGGCAGTGTCTGTCACATCAGTGCTATCTTATCTTCCTGAGTGGACTGGGAAGGTAAAATGGCTCACCCAGAAGCAAGCCCAGCTGAATGGCTACAGCAGGGCTATAAGCCAGCATTGCAGGAGCTGCTTGGCTCAGACTGGCCAGTGGTGGTGTCAACGATGAGTGTTGGCTCGTTGCTGTTTTTCTCCTGCTCAGCGCCAGAGCAAGAGAGGCAATGGGTGAGCCAGTAAGACATCATTGGCACTACTGGCCAGGCCTGAACTGAGTGTACCCGGCAGTGCTAGCGGAACTACTGGACCTGACTGCTGCTGGCTGCCAACCATGTTCCATGGCAGTGGTCCCCTGAAAATTTACCCTATAAGTTAAATATGCGATCCATCCCCAAGTTAACCAAAAGTTCCTGTGTTGTGACACTACTTGAGAAGAATAAATATGTGTCTCCCTGAACAGCTGCAGCAAACGGCACCATAGTGACGCAGAGAATTCGAATGGAGTCTCCTAAAGTAGATGCCGTCTTCGTTGGAACAGGGGATCTGTTTGCTGCCATGCTCCTGGCCTGGACACACAAACATCCAGACAATCTTAAGGTACAGACACAATTCTCCTGGTGTTCTCCTCTCTCTGCTGCGAGTTCTTTCAGCCTGGATAACTGTGAGATTAAAAGGAAAGGAGAAAAGAGTGAATATGTCAGCAGCCGGTACAAAAGTAGAACACTGTTCTCTTGTTTTACATAGCCTAAGATGGATTCAGGTGGGGTAGCCGTGTTGTTCTTTCACTCACTGTTAATGGTTTTTATATATAGAAAGTAAGAACCACTTTTGTTATTAAAGGAGTAGTCACCAGAAAACGATTGCTTTCTTAATCACAGAGTCACTGCCATTCATACCACTGCCTTACTGCATGGCAATTTCAGCACTGCTAATACTGCCTGTAACTTTTTGAAACACTGTTTTGAAACACTAAACAAAACTTAAGAAAGCAAAAAAGACTATAAAAGCAATTCAGTATGGTTTTGTTTGTTTTTTATTTCATTTATACCCCACCGTTCTCCCTGATGGAGACCCAAAGTGGTTTACATCATTTGTCTCTCCTCTGTTTTATTCTTACAATGACCTTGTGAGCAAGGCTAGGCACAAGGTCCCCCAGTGAGTTTCCATGGCAGTGTGTGATCTGAACCTGGATCTCCCAGATCCTAGTCCAGCACTCTGACCTAGGGTTGCCAGGTCCCCCTGTCGTTCTGGTGGGGGGATTTAGGGGGCATTCTGGAGGTGGCTTGGGACATCGTGTGACATCCCCAACATGATGACGTCACCCGAAAGTGATGTCATCATGTCAGGGACGCTTTGATATTTGGGTGAAACTCTATGGGTTTTTTGCCCACAAACCATAGAGTTTGCCCAAATACCAGTGTGTCCCTGCATGACGTCCCTGTTTAGGGGCAGAGTCAATGTTTCTAGTGAAATTCCATTTAAATTAGTATGTCTGTCGCAGGTAAGTGATTTGTAGAGAACAGCTCTAAGGGACCGCCTCTTCCTGTATGTTCCCCCAAGAGCACTGCGATCGGGGAGTCTCGACCTCCTTGAGGTTCCGGGCCCCCGGGATATCAAGCTTGCCCTAACCAAGGCCAGAGCGTTTTCGGTGGCGGCTCCTACCTGGTTGAATGAGCTCCCGGCGGAGATCCGGGCCCTGCGGGACCTTGTACAGTTCCGCAGGGCCTGCAAGACGGAGCTCTTCCGCCAGGCTTTCGGGTAAGAGCCGCCGCCGCCACTATACCACCATCGTGGCTTGATTTACCATCTACCCTGGTTTCTGGGAGGGGGTAGACGTCGCCCGGAAGAGGAACATCACCCCTGGCGCTCTCGCTATTACACCATCGGCCGCCAGTGAGGGACATCGAGCATCTTGGAAATTTAATGAACTGTAGAGCACCATTTAGTTTGTATTTATTGATGTTTTAATGTAATTTATATTTTATTCTGGCGTTGCCACTTGTTCGCCGCCCTGGGCCGCTTGGGTAGGGCGGGATATAAATCCCAAGTAAATAAATAAATAATGTAAATAAAAATAAAGTGATATAGTTAGTGGCCAGAGCCAATGGAATGCCAGTAGAACTGAAATGTTTTTCTGCCAATTGCAGGTGGCATGTGAAAAAACAGTATCAGCCATGCAGCATGTTTTGCAGAGGACTATCAAGAGCGCAAAGGGTAAGCCATTTATATCATGTTTTGAAATTACTGATTCTCTGTAATTGAAGTGCACAGTCTTTCATTGCTATTATACTCATCATCATTAATAAGTCCAGCTAAGTGGCCTCTACTGGAGCTGCGGTGGCTCAAGTGGTTAAGACGCTGAACTGCAGGCTGTGGAAGGTCAGTAGTTCAGCGGTTCAAGACCCGGGTGCCGCAAGACAGGGTAAGCTCCTGTCTCTAGTTCCAGCTCCTGCCAACCTAGCAGTTCGAAAGCAAGAAATTGCAAGTAGATAAATAGGGACCACTTCGGTGGGAAGGTAACAGCGTTCCGTGTGCCTTGGTGTTTAGTCATGCCGGCCACATAACCACGGAAACGTCTTCGGACAGCGCTGGCTCTTCGGCTTTGAAACGGAGATGAGCACCGCAACCCTAGAGTCGGACTCGACTGGCTTTCGAGCAAGGGAACCTTTACCTTTACCTAAGTGGCCTCTATTCTTGATGTAGTGGGGATTTTTTCAAATATTATTGTAGAAGAAGAAGAGATTGGATTTATACCCCGCCCTTCACTTGGAGTCTCAGAGCGGCTTACAAACTCCTTTCCCTTCCCCTCCCCACAACAGACACCCTGTGAGGTGGGTGGAACTGAGAGAACTCTGACACAAACTGCTCTTTTTCAAGGACAGCTGTGCCAGAGCTTGTGACTGACCCAAGGTCACATCAGCAGGTGCAAGTGGAGGAGTGGGGAATCAAACCCGGTTCTCCCAGATTGGAGTCCACACACTTAACCATTACACCAAACTGGCTCTCTTGTAGCCTTGGGAGAAGCATTATGGCTAATTGAACAGCTTTTATTTGACTACTAGGTCTTCTAAATTATAGCCACTTCAACCTTTTCCTTGCCTGTCTTACGGACAAACTGTATATTATGTTTTCTTCTGTTTTAATTTTTACAGTATTTTCCCATTTTTTTTCTTTCAAATTCCTGTCCTGGCCACCAGGTGCGAGGCAAGTCCCAGCAACTACAAGGCCAGCAACTACTATCAGGGGTTCTCAGGTCACAGTCCAACATCAAAGTTCAGAGTCTGATAACACAACCCGAGTGCAAGGTCTCAGTCCAGGGTCATAGCATGTGTTCCAAAGGCAGGGTCCAAAAGCAGTCCAAGGGTCAGGTAATGAGGGTCCACAAACTGCTCTCAAGCAGGTCAGCCAGCTGGGAGGCACCGGTAAGACTGCAGGCACATGGATTCAACACTGGTGCTAGCCTCACTGCAGCCTTGCAGGTGAGGCTGGTCCCATGTTAAGCTCCTCTTCAAAAGCTGAGTCAGCTCTTTTACTCATGAGGGGTAGTGGGGGTCAGATCCTGTGATGAGAGCCAGTTTGGTGTAGTGGTTAAGAGTGTGGACGGGTTTTGATTCCCCGCTCCTCCACATGCAGCTGCTGGTGTGACCTTGGGTCAGTCACAGTTCTCTCAGAGCTGTTCCAGAAAGAGCTCTCTCAGCCCCACCTACCTTACAGGGTGTCTGTTGTGGGGGAGGGGAAGGGAAAGGGGTTGTAAGCTGCTCTGAAACGTCTTCGGGTAGTGAAGGGCAGGGTATAAATACAGTGTCTCTCCTCCTCTTCCTCCTCCTCCTTCTTCCTTCTTCCTTCTTCTTCTTCTTTCTTCTTCCGTTGGCATTCCCTCAGCAGAGGGAAGGACTCAGGCTGCCAAGCATATACTCCTGCACCTGGTCCAAGCCTCAGCCCTTACTAGGGTTGCCAGGTCCCCCCGGCCACTGGCAGGTGTTGGGGGCATAGGGTTGCCAGCTCCAGCTTGAAAACTCCTGGAGATTTCAGACGGAGCCTGGGAAGTCCACCCTTCAAAGTATCCATTTTCTCCAGGGGAACTGATCTCTGTGGTCTGGAGATGAGCTATGATTCTGGGGGATCACCAGGTCCCACCCAGAGACTGGCATCCTTTAGCCTTCTCTGCTCCAGGAGTCCTTCAGGGTACTGTGGTGGGTCTGGCACTGGGTGGGTCCATGCTGGAACTTCCTGGCTTGAGGGCCCTGCTGGCTCAGAGGGCAGTACCAGTGCTAACTCAGGGTCCCTTTGAGGAAGCCCTGAGACACTGGACTCATGGGGAGGGTCTGCCAAGGCAGGGCTTGGGGACGGGTTGTCCTCCTTCTCCCCTAATGTGGGTTCATCTTCCCACACTAAACCAGGGTGGTCCATGACAATTCCTTTCCTATTCCAGCCGTATGATAGATAGGGAACCTTTTCCTTTACGTTGATACTCACTGAATTAGCAGTTTGAAATACTAGAAACTGTTTGCCAAGTAGGCTTTTGCAGTAGTCATCTGAACATTTCTTCCTACTTCTATTTGATATCTTCAACTGAATTATCAGTATCTGATAATGCATTTGATAGCACAGAAAAGTTCTTAACTGGCAATTATTATTTTCTCAAAATTAATTGTGAAAACAGTCATTGTTCTAGTCCTTATTGAAATCAACATATAATCCGTAGCATAGCCCCATCTGTGGATATTTAAATCTACAGATTGGAGACATGAACAGAGAAATGAGACATTTGTGCAAATTTGCAGAATAATACAAAAACTTTAAAAAGTAAGGGAGCAATTTCCCCCCAAATAGAGGAAGCATAGACAACATTCCTCCAGCGGCACAGCAACATCCACCTTCCTTGCCACATGTGAGAGACATCAGAGGAGGGAAACTGGCTACTTGACCCACATAGGAGGGGGGAGGTTAGGAACTGCCACCCTCAGCCACTCCCCACAGAGCAGTGAGACAGAGGACAGACAGGTGGGCAGAGTGGCAAGGTAAAGAGCGGTGGGCAGAGTGGCATGGAGGTGGACGGACAGGAGGAAACGTCAAGTGGCCAGGCAGAGCGGAGGAGTGGTAGGGAATGGGACAGGAAATAGAACAGACAGTAATGCAGTGGGGCTCCACAGATGTAGCAGGATATGCCCTCTCCCTGTGAAACTTGGGGGCCCCACTTGTATTCATACAATCTCTGAAGTATTGGAAGCACTGAGGGTTTTCTCCTCTCATATGTTGTGTGATTCTCTGAAAATGCACCCAATCCCTCTTTTACCATATCATTATTCTAACTATTCCATGTCAACCCATAAAAAAGGACTAAGCTGTGACTAAATTGTTAAAAGGATGAATAATATGAGAGTACAAGGGGGGAACCCGCGATACTCGCGGGAGAGGGGGAGCTCCACAACTATGAGGAAGAGGAGGAACCAGGAGGAGGTAAGTTCCCCCCCTATCCCGCCGGTTCCCCCATCTCCTCCACCCCCCGTCCACCCCCTGGCTCCATTACCCCCCCGCCCTGGAGCGCCCCCCCTCCAGAGGCCAGGTCTACCCACCCCTTCCCACTATATTGGCAGACCTGGCCTCTGGACTCCGGAGTCCAGGTCTACTCACCCCTTCCCACTACAGTGGTAGACCTGGCCTCCGGAGTCCAGGTCTACCCACACCTTCCTACAACAGTGGTAGACCTGGCCTCTGAACTCCGGAGTCCAGGTCTACCCACCCATTCCCACTACAGTGGTACACCTGGCCTCCGGAGTCCGGAGGCCAGGTCTACCCACCCATTCCCACTACAGTGGTACACCTGGCCTCCGGAGTCCGGAGGCCAGGTCTACCGACCCATTCCCACTACAGTGGTACACCTGGCCTCCGGAGTCCGGAGGCCAGGTCTACCCACCCATTCCCACTACAGTGGTACACCTGGCCTCCGGAGTCCGGAGGCCAGGTCTACCGACCCATTCCCACTACAGTGGTACACCTGGCCTCCGGAGTCCGGAGGCCAGGTCTACCCACCCATTCCCACTACAGTGGTACACCTGGCCTCCGGAGTCCGGAGGCCAGGTCTACCGACCCATTCCCACTACAGTGGTACACCTGGCCTCCGGAGTCCGGAGGCCAGGTCTACCCACCCATTCCCACTACAGTGGTACACCTGGCCTCCGGAGTCCGGAGGCCAGGTCTACCGACCCATTCCCACTACAGTGGTACACCTGGCCTCCGGAGTCCGGAGGCCAGGTCTACCCACCCATTCCCACTACAGTGGTACACCTGGCCTCCGGAGTCCGGAGGCCAGGTCTACCGACCCATTCCCACTAGCGGCGAGGTCGGCTACAGAGCGTTCTGTGCGCAGGTGCAGAGAACGCTCTTTCATTTTCGGGGGGATTTAAACATCCCCCCGATATTTTTTTTTAGTTTTTACATTTTTGTGCACCCCTGGGGACTGCCCCAAGAGTGCACAAACCTCCCCTGGCCCCCCAGCTGCCCCCAGAGCGCTGATTTAGCGATCCGCACTCCGGGGGCAAGTTCGCTATTAGTATATAGGATTTGGAGACTGGTATGGTAAAAGTTGTGGCTAGGGTGTGTCTTGCCTCCATTAATCTTTGGCTAAAGCGAAATCTTAAACTTCAGGGCTTAGCTCCCTTGATTCTTTGAGATAGTCATCAATCCATATGGCTAAAGGCAGTTAGTAACAAGTTGGTGAGTTTGGGCTTTCCCCCTCATTCAGTCTAGAAAATGGGGTATAAGCAGGCAAAACAAATTTTAAAGCAAAGGGTGATGGATATTGAGTGACAGATAGACTTAGAGAGGTCACCAACCTACCTGTCCTCAGAAAGAACGTTACTTATAGATAAAAATGTTTCTTATAGATAAAAACCAATGGTTTCAGCACTTAGCACGAAGTTTTGTGCAGCAACTTGTAAAATCCACCAGATTATGGTGGTTTAAGTTTTTTACATATGTTTATTGAAGAAATTTAATAATAATTTTACTTATTACTCATTGCATGTATTATATGTGGAAATTAATTTTTAAGATCATTCTTATCTACTGTGGTTGTGAACTTTGTTATGACTCTTGCTTGGTCAATGACCATTTTAATAAAGATTCTGATTCTGAGAGCTGTTTAAAATTTATCCTGTATTTGTAAAACAGGCATTGTTTGTAATGACTAAATGTGCATTATATGACCAGATTATATGAGACAGTGGAATGATGCAGCTAACTTCTCCCCCGAAATATAATGCAAACTCTTTGTCTGAAAAAAACCTATTTCTTTTTAATTTTTAATTTTGAGGCATAATAATAAAAGTGGGCATGCTGTTTTACCTCTTTTCCTTTGGATTTTTGCACAGCTGGCCTGTCTTTCTCTCATGGATTTTGCCAAAGTTTTAAAGTTACTGGGGTGGATCCTACCCCGGACTTCCCACTTCACTGAGCAAAGTGGCTCTTCCTCCTGCCTAAGGAGTCTTCTGTTGGTGGATGGCCCAATTAAGTTGTAGGAAGGCCTCTTAAGCTGGGGGAAGGCTCCTTGGAAGATGGTTGGATCCCCAACACCTTTGCAACTGGAAAGTTTTGAAGGATAAAAAGAACTCTTGATAGTGCATTGATTTTAATGCTGTCACAGGGTAGCTGTGTTGGTCTGTAGTAGAATAGCTAAATTTGAGTCCAGTAGCACCTTAGAAACCTATATGATATTTAGGGTATAAGCTTTCAAGAGTCAAAGCTTCTGCGTCTGATGAAGGGAGCTTTGACTCTCAAAACTTATACCCTAAAAATCTTGTTGGTCTCTAAGTTGCTGCTGTACTTGAATCTGGCTATTTTAAGAGTGGCAACTCTATCCAATCATGAGATTGGATAATCATCTTAATTTTTGTTCTTGAATCTAAAATGTTGTTAGATCTGTTACATTTTTTGGCAAATACATGGGAAGATATCTTGTAGGTTTTTTACAGTATAGCCCCTTTTCTCAGCTGCACATTTTTTAGATGTTCCTCAGTTCTCTGCCTGTAATACAAATCACATACAGAATGCATTTCAGAACCGCAAGGAGAAGCTGCACCAAACATTTGCTGTTAGCTTACTATTTTCTGTTAGCTTACTGTATTAGTGTTTTCAAATTGTTGTGCCATCATCTGTAATAGTCCTATGGCAGCACATTCCAAGAGATCACCCTACCCTGCCACATTTTTTTCACATATCATTATTGTTTCTGCTTTTTTTTTTAATTCATGGACAAGATTTTTTGTTGATATTTGCAATTAGTTGACACTCACAATTAGGGATGAGGATGAACCGGCTGATGAACTAAAGTTTGTCACAAATTTTAGCCAGTTTGCAAATGCAATGTTCGCAAGCTGAAGAACTGCCACAAACTTCCATGGTTTGATGCAGTTTGTGACAAGCAGAAAGCATTTAAACCACTGCTTTCTGCTCCCTGCGAAAAGCTGTGGGGAGCAGAAAGCAGGGGTTTCCAAACAACTGAGCAGTGGGGACCACCACTCAGCTGTTTGGTTTAAATGGCTCAGCCATTAAAACCAAACTGCTGAGTGGTTGTCCCCACTGTTCCCCTGTTTGGAAATCCCTGCTTTCTGCTCCCTGCAGAAAGAAGAAGAGAAAGAAGAGATTTATAACCCACCCTCACTTGGAGTCTCAGAGCGGCTTACAAACTCATTTCCCTTCCCCTCCCCACAACAGACACGCTGCGAGGTAGGTGGGGCTAAGAGAGTTCTTTCGAGAACTGCTCTTTCAAGAATACTTCTGACAGAACAATGGCTTGCTCAAGGTCATCCAGCAGCTGCAAGTGGAGGAGTGGGGAATCAAGCCCGGTTCTCCCAGATTAGAGTCCGCGCACTTAACCACTACAGCAAACTTTAAATGGCTCACAAACTGATCCAAACTGGTTTGGTTTGTGAACTGGCATATTGGTTCATGGTTTGGCTTGTGGTTCAGCCATGAACCTAACCAAACCACAAAAATGCAGTTTGTGCCCATTCCTCTTTACAATTGTTCATATCTGAAATCGCCAGTTGCGTGCCTGTACACATATCTGTGTAAAGTGATTGTGTCTGCTTTCAGCAGAAATTATCCTATTTAGAACATACAGAATGTGGCATGATGACCTAGTACTGATTTTGGATTCCTGTCTGTTCCTGCCAGAACTGTGCAGCTGTTACCAGGCTGGTGCAGGATGGAAGTGAATCTCTATAAAGTTTTCACAATGTGTATATTCAAGAAGCGCCCATTCTGTGCAGACTCTGCATTGACATGACTGAGTTCTTGTGGGGGCTGAAGGTCATTTGCTTGGTCTTTCAAATGTCTTTTAATATTGGTTACCCTTTAAACTATTGTGGAATTATAGAGCTGTCATTCTGGAGTTGAAATATGGTTTGGACTCCTTGTTGCAGTCCATGAATAGCAGCAGAGAGTGCAAAACATGACCATGGTGTCAAGAGTGAGAGGGATGAGTTTTTCTTCTATACTGTGTGTGTTAAAAGTAAACATCCGTAGCATTTCAGTGTTTGTCTCCCCCCTCTCCCTCTTTTATTTTAAAGAACAAGCTGGAGAAGGAAACAGGCCTAATTCAGCCCAGCTGGAACTGAGGATGGTCCAAAGCAAAAAGGACATAGAAAACCCAGAGATAATAATAACCGCTACTGTGTTATAAAGGTTGTATATCTCCTAACAACGCACAATGTTATTGATGTCCTCATTTTCTTTCCTGTAAATTGTAATGTTTGCCTTAGATCTGTGACAGAAACCTGACTTCCATGAAATAGTGCCCAGCATAGATGAGATCCACTACCAAGCACATGTGCTGGCCTTGCTTGGATTAAGAAGGAAAAAAGTTAGGTGTATTATAACTCCCTTCCAGGTATCAAAATGGCTGTCAGATTACTTCAGTCATGTTATGAATCCTGGACATCGGAGAACAAGGTTTCCTGCCTTGCCAAAGACTTCCAGAATGCATTTGTCAGTGGAATGATTGGCTGGAGTGTATATACTGTGGTAAAGCATCTAGTGCCAATTCAGTTGGTTACCTTTTCCCATACATGAAGAGGTTTGGTAGCCTACTGCAATGTTCAGTACCTCAACCACTCTGGAATACAATATAGAGGGAGATTCAGGGGCAGCACAGGATGGGGTCTGAAGATGATTTGCTTTTAGCTACTCTGCACAGGCCTTATTATTATATCACCATGTTTCTGAGAACTGCTCCCGTTTCCAGTCTGTGAATAAATGCAAGACTCCACTGCCCAGAGGTGCTAATCCTTTAATCTCAAGAAATCAAAAGTATCCCATGTCACTTTTTGTTTTCCCCCTTTGATTTCTCCAGAAAGGAATACAGTTGCGTAAAGGAAATTATTCTACCTCTGACAGAATATTGCTTGTCTCAGTTTTATCAAAAGACCTATAAACTGTAAATTTCCTTAACCAGTACTTCGTATAAAAATGAATATCCCAGGATATCTATTAAGGCTACGAGAAGAGTGAAAGTCTGTTGTTAGTTGAGACCAATTCACTGTTTATGACCATGAATGACAACAAACCTTTAGAGTGTTCTCCCACTTCATGTAAATAATATAATTAATAAAGAACCATATATTCAATAGGTCCCAATGCATACTCCCACCAAAGGCACAACACACCAAACATTACTGTTGCACAACCTCCATGCCTTTTCAAAAAGCTTTGCACAGGAATCTCATGCAAACCTTATAGAAATCAATGTTGATTACACCACAATAGTTTTGAGGGGTTGCATCCAAATTTATCTGCCATACCTGAGTAGACCTGCTGTCAAAATATAACATATCTCTTTGTGGATTTTAAGCAATTATTTTTGAAATGTCACTCTTAAAAGACTCTATGCACTTCTGTGAAGATTGAACATGTTCAAAAACAAATGCTTGGATTTTATAACATGCAATAATCCCGTTAAAGTTATCATCAATGCCTTTTATTTACCAATCGTATGTCTCAGGACTCTGCATATTCTATTTATTTAGAAGTTTAAGTCTGCCTTTCCGATCTCTTTCCCATTCTGGTTATAGTTTTCATAAACTGTTATGGATAAATTGATTTTTGTGTTATTCCTCATGACTTCTTCCTTGGGGCGTAACAGGGTATCTATCAAAGCAAACCATCCTTAGTGCCCATAGCGTTTGTGAACAATGTTCTTCCTTGAGGGAAAAAGCCAGACTGTTTTCCTTCTTATTCTTTTTCTTTCATTAGAATGTCTTAAGATAGGACTCCTGCCAACATGTATTCTGCCATTAATGGGTTTATTTTTTATTTTAAAAAATTATGTGGCATCTCTCCAAAGACTTCCTCAAGTCAAGTGGGACCATTTTGCGGGTCTTGAAGCATCTTTGTACATTCTGTGGATTCTTCTTAGAGTGTTGACGCTTCCAATTTTCACTCATTAAAAATCCTCAAGTTTCTAATCCTCATGACTGAAGAACTAAGCTTGATAGTAACCCCTCTTGATGCGGGCCTTGCCAAACAAACAATTCTCCGAGCTGTATCAGTGACAGAACAATGTAATGTCTGCTAAGTTTTTTTTAATACAGAAAAAACATTTCTCTCAGAATGTTCAGCCATAGATGAACATAGAGGCAGCGTGGGGATATATATGCAGGAGGTAGAAACTCTACCAGTCCATTACCAAATTCATCTGCAACTTTGCTACACAGACTGTTAGTATTATGGCTATCTGAAACTGCCTGAAAGATACTTTGAATGACTGCATCCCTTGTGTGCCTTCCTACTATCTTATTCCTGGCCACCTCTACCCAGTTTTGAAGCTGATTTGACTCTTCCAAATATTTTATAGCATAAGTGGCTTTGGAGACAGTAGCATCATTTATTCATCCAGTTATGGAAGTGACTTCAACATTGCACAGAAATAGGAGGAGAAATAGAAGACATGAGTAGATTCTGTCACCTTGGGAGAGTTCTGGTTTCCAATTGTATTAGAGCTCCTGAAAGGATGAAGAGACTTGTGCATTATCTCTCCATTCTCCCATATAAGACCTGAAGGTGCCCTGAATGGACCAGCTACCCTAGGAAATAGCACCTGGGCTTTTAATAGAACCAGGAATGTCAGTATATTTTTACACATGTTCCTGCCTTGCATTGAACCAACACTACTTTTTGCAGTTTGCAGTTAGTACTGACATTTATACAACTGCTTTCCTCTACCCTTTCCATTCTGATTTAACAGATCTGAGTTGAGCTACAGATAGATTTTAGCAAATCAAAGAGAAATATCTTTTAAATGTATATATAAATATATATGACAAAACAAATCCTCCCCATCTTTTTCCTACTGAGTGATTAAAGTCCGTAATTTCTGACATACTCCGAAAATTTTCTAAAATCATAGAAAATTCACTATATTTAAACTCTGAACTTTACTGCTACTACCTAATCTTCACCACTGCCATGAAATAGTTTTAGCAATAAGAACGTGGGTGGCACAGCACTCTCCTGTTGCATCAGATTCCAGCCCTTTTCGTGCTGAGAGAGCCCAACAAAGGAGTCTTGTGGAGCCACTGCAGCAATATTAAAACAGTCAATTTTTTGCCCCTTTCCTCAGTGATATACACTGCCCTAACCACATCTTCTAGTCATTTTTTTGAGCTTAGAGGTATGTCACTATTAAGCAAAAAAATATTCAAGGTGGGACCCATTAAAATACCACTGAAGGATTTCTGCTTGTAGAATGGGGCCTTTCCACCTCCTCCTTCCTGCTGCACCCCCTGAAAACCCATATTGTGTGGCCAGGAGGAGTCCCAGGAATCACATACAAGGGTGCCAATGGAGAATGAAATCCGTTAAAATTGCTGGCCCCACTTCTGGTTGCATAAGCAGGGGTTTGGATACAACCCTCAATTAAGAAACAGCCAGATTTTATTTCTAAACTGCAGATCAATATAACCCTTCTTGCTGATCATTGAATGTCAGCACTGAATATTCCAAGGATAAAAAGTTTTTATTTCATTTATTGGTATCTCAAGCAATCTGTGGAGACTTGAAAACTCATTATTCATCTTGGTAGTCGGATGGATCTTTAAATGGCATAGCATCAACAAGGTAGTGATAGGATATGGGAATTTCTATGTGATATTCAGATTCTGCACTTCTTGCAAGGGAAAACAATCTGAGATCATTTGAACGCAACTACTGATGGATTAAGATGCTGCAAAATAGCCTTCTTTGTCTGTGTCCACTGGAATTGAAACATGGACATTGTTTTCCATTGTTAATTTGGAGTAAGTGCTTTCAGTAGTGATTTTCTTTTTAATTTATGTGAATTTTCACTTAATGTAGAATTTTTATATATATTAAAACCTTCCTAAATGCCTTTCCCATGGAACACAAGCAAGCCACTATGATTAAGAGAGCTAGGAATCCAGGTGGATTCCTGGATGTTCCAGTGAAATGCAAGTCAGTAAACTCCCAGGTCACCTTCTAACTTAACTAATTGCACAATGAAAAAAGTTCCACATTTTTAGAAAGGACAAGTAGAATTCTGCTTCTAAGAAATAGTAAAAATCACTGTCATTACAAATCCAGCATTGGCGACTGATGTCCATCACGGCTTTAGATTCTGAATCAGTGTTCTTAGACCTAACAGGGCCATCCTAAGCAGAGAAACACCCTTATAAACCCATTGACATAGAAGGATGTAACTCTGGCACCATAAAAGAAGAATCATTAGGGGATGCCTTCTTTATAGTAGATGATTTTGTTATTGCTGTGGTTTTGAAGGCCATTTCTCTAATACACTCTGTGCTGCACTTAAATCTGAATATTTTAGGGACATATATAAGCAATACTCTGCATAAATTTAGCACAATCCTGTCACATTTACTGCACACAAGGTTTCAAATGATTTTGGGAAGTTGAAACGGGCATCTAATATGTTTATTTCCATACCAACGTCGTATTTGGCCATGTTAATTTAAAGGAACAAGCATCTCATTGGGGTCGTGTCCCATTTACAGATCTAATCATGGGGCAGGTTTAGACTCAAAGATCTGTGCTGCATCAATTTACCCAAACGACCTATAATCCAGACCACCAGACCCCTCCAAGGTGCCAGCACAGTCCCCATGATCCTCCATCCAAGGTCCTGTCATCTGCCCAAGTTTTGCAGGGGGTAGAGTGGAAGATAAAAAAGAAAAGATGGCCGTATCAGATTCTGCAGCCATTTGTTCTTTAAAGAAAGCAAGATGGTTCCAGGAGAGAGATGAGATCTTACTGTAGCCATTGCACTGTAGTGAATCTTACTCTGTTTTCCACAAGCCTCTTGAATTGTTTTTTAAAGAACCAAGTAAATCATAAGACATAGCCTACTTTTCCCCACTGACCTCTTGGCACAAGGGAGGCCTAGCCTGGATAGGATTGGGTTCAAAATGAAGCTGATGAATTAAAACAAATTAGTATAGGCATAAACAACTTGGCTGATAGCACTGCGTTGAGGAAATATTGCAGCAGTTCTTATTATTGTCTTAACAAAATGGAAAGCTGGCATTGTCATATATTGTAGCTCATTTATGTTTAATTGTGTTTTTTGTAAATATCTTCTTGATGTTACCTGTACAGCTATACTGATTATTGTGGTTTTACTTCCTTGTGGAGCATAAGGGGCTAATGACATGTCACATTCAAATGCATGTAACAGGGTCTGGATCCTATTCTTTAACTTTTTAAAAAAACTGTTTCCAGAGGGAGAATTTTGAGCAGGGCAGGAGAAGGCTTAAGCACCATCAGCTATTTCTGCACTCAAAATTTCCCCCCTGCAAAAGCTGTTTTTCTTTTTTCTTCTAAAGTAAATGAGTATCAGGGCATTGTTACATGCATTTACACAGAACATTTAGTTAGCCCGTCAGCAGGACCAAAACTCATGTAAAATGAAATATCTTCTGAGCTTGAATCCAGCTTTTATGTACCCATAATACTTTCTGATATCCTTGGGCATAAAGATACCTGGTTCAAGTAAATAGAAACTGTCATGTGTGGAATCTTATTCACTCTTGCTTTTAACATGCTTTTAATAACTATATATTAAAATTGATTTATGTTTTAGATGTTTATTTGCCAAATTGCATTAAAATGCAAGAAATCTGTAATCAGCGCAATATTTAAAAAGAAGAGGACCAAGATTTCTAGCTAAAGATACTGCCTTGTTAAGAGTAACCTTATATGTGTCCTGATTGGATAGTGTTAATTCATTGTCTGTCTGGTCTGTTGCAGTGATTGTAGAAGTCTCATAATTTATAATATGTGGCAAGAAAGATTGTAATAAAATATCTATGTTTAATAATATTGTGCATAACTATTGTTAAATACTGTTTC